ACCTATCTTCTCGCCAACTGTAAGCATGCGAATAGTGTACTCGAACGACTGACCACCCCAAGGGAATTCGCACTAAGCATGCGAATAGTATAGCTTAGTGCGAATTTACTTGTATCTTTGATTTTTTTGGGTTAATTCCGTAATTAAACGACCAATCAAGTGGCGTGTCCAGGGCCGTGCATGCTATACTAAAAATAAGGCATCTGCCTAGGACCCCACCTCTAGTTTATAATTTTGGGGCCCCCACTTTTGCGTTTATGTTTAATTCAATTAGTAGAGAATTGTATTCGGCTTTTTTTTTTGGCATCTAGAAACATTATATTGAAACAAGTAAAATATTACACAAGGAACCGATCGAAAGGTACAACTCAAAACCGAACCATGGAGACACTCAGAAGTACAACTAACCAAACACTAACACGAGGCAAGAACGCATGAATTGAAGAAACTGCAACCCCCAATCCACAACGGATGAGGTTATAAGCAAGCTCACATCGGAATAAGACGATGACAAACAAGAAGCAAGCGATCACCAACAAAGAGAGCAAACCAATCTTCGAAGAGACTCCAAATGATACTCAACCTTATGCTCAATAGTTAAAGGAGGCGAGAAATTGATGTACATCGCCGATTGGAGACTATTCTGAAGAAGAAGAAAAACGGTAAGAAAAGGCACACCAATATGCTGGACAAGGGAAATCAGTCTCGTTATCAACTCCTTCCATAAAAAACAATCCACCTAAGCACTTCAATCCAAACCACCATCACCAGTGTAACTAAAGAAAGAGCGGCACAAAGCTCCAGGACGATTGCGAGGACCACAACAACCAGGCTCGGCAAACACAAATGGGTAAAGCCGGAACCAAACCACGAGAAGACAAAATCCATGAGCCAAAACGAAAAACAAACCTCATAAAAAAGAAACTACTGATGACGGGATAGATCCACATATCCGGCAGACAGAGCCAGATCAAGAGGGAGATCGATCGGAGCACAAGAGCGGTTTTCGAGAGTAAAATACAAGCAAACCACCAATCTTTTGATGAGCTTCAACCTTCATCACGA